ATCTGTTGAGATCTACTTACTCATCTAAAATACAAAATTTCATTAATGTACCTATTGTAGGTCTTGAGATATTGACGTCAGAAAATCGCTATTTTTACTATACACTCACTGACTGACTGACTCACTCACTCATCAAAAACCTAGACCACTTCCAGTGGTCGTATTGACTTGAAATTTGGCATAGGGGTAGGTCTTTAGGTCAAGGTAAAGGAAAAAATCTGAAAATGGCCAAGTGTGAGTCGGTTTTAAAAATAATGAAGGTGTAAATTCATACCCTAAGGAACTAATACAAAAAATTATCTATATCTTCCAATGGTCGTACCGACCTAAAATTGCAACCGACCGAAAACCTTACAAAAATAAATGAAATCCCACCCAAAACATAAATGTGAAAGGCTGCCAAGTTCGACAATATTGGAATGCTTCGCCTATAAAAGAAGTGAGATCTAAATAAGTACCAAGTTCCATACACAGACCTCAGTTAAAAATAGTTACAGGAATGCACACTTGATTTTCCGCAGTTTGGAAAGTAGATTCTGAATAAATATCATATTAATACCTAAAATTCTAATACTTACAAAAACGCAAACCTGTTTTTCAGCAGTTTCCTTTCCTACTTTTAATGATATAACTTGGCAAGTTTTAATAGAAAATTATATACTTGACTCATTGCGTTTTGTAGGTTTATAAATAACAAAGTGTGTGAAAACTTGCAAGTTATATCATTAAAAGTAGGAAAGGAAACTGCTGAAAAACAGGTTTGCGTTTTTGTAAGTATTAGAATTTTAGGTATTAATATGATATTTATTCAGAATCTACTTTCCAAACTGCGGAAAATCAAGTGTGCATTCCTGTAACTATTTTTAACTGAGGTCTGTGTATGGAACTTGGTACTTATTTAGATCTCACTTCTTTTATAGGCGAAGCATTCAATATTGTCGAACTTGGCAGCCTTTCACATTTATGTTTTGGGTGGGATATACAGTCTCAATTATTCAACTTTGGTTTCAGTTTCAGATTCAGGAACCCATTAAAGTCTCACCTATTTCCAATAATGTTAAATTGAAAATGATTCACAAGAGGTGTCGATGTCCAGTAAACTAGATGTGATTTTGCCATTTTCAGAGAATAGGGATGGCACAAGTAGGTAAAATTATTAAAGGAAAAATCCTTTTAAAATTGTTACTGGCCACTGAGGCGGGGGAGTAGACATTCTTATATTTCAAACTTATCATGTGACATTGTTCCTTTTGTATGTCAATCAGTCTTCAATAAACTGCGCCACTAAAAAACTGATGCAAACTGATGCAAACTGTTTAATACAGAAGTGCGCATTACAGTATCTGTAATGTTCTCGAAAGCGCTTCCAAACTCTCAATAAGCTTATCGTTTTGGAAAAGTCGACGAAAAACTTGATGAACCTCCTAAGTTAGTAGTAGTCCAAAATTATGCCATTTCGTCATTGCCATTTTGTTATTTTGCCAATTTAACATTTGACCCGTTTGGATAGATCGATGTTTTACCACGTAGACATTTATGTCAATTGTATCTCGTGTCTACTTCACTTACCCAAAGTTGTTCCTACAGTTTCATGTGTTGGTACACACCCCATGAAACCATCATCATCTTCCTGCCCTTATCCCAATTACTTAGGGTTCTCGCCACACACCCCATGAAATATTTTCTATATTATTTTTACACCTGTATATTTTATGTGCAGAATCACACTGCACATCCCTAAATTGAAGACAGGTCTTACCGTAAGGCCCCCTTCACACGGTTTCAATAAGGACTCTAAGTGACGGCTTTGCCCGGTAAGGCTGCGAATCCACCAAAGCTGTGCGAGGTAGCTAAGCGGTGTACGAGGAAAAATCCACCAATAGAATCACTTCATTTTCCTAGCCTCGCTCAGCTCAGCTCTGGTAGAATAGGGTTTAGCGAAGCGAGACCATTTTACATACAAAACGAGCGAGAAATGCGTGCGAAGGATGTGTTGCGTCGAATGTGTAGCGAGGAATGTGTTGCGAGAAATGTTGTGCTAGGAATATGTTGCGAGGTTTCCACTACATCGCATTCTCCCCGCTCACACATTTCACAGCTTCGTAACGCATCCTAGAACCGCACATTAATGCACATTTTGACAGCTCCGCTACACATCCTCGTATTAGACATTTACCTCGCACAGCTCTGGTGGAAACCCCTACACATTTCCACAGCACAGCTACACATCCTCGTACGACACATTTTACTCGCACAGCTCTGGTGGATTCTCGCCCTAATGGCGGATATTTTAGTGGCTCCAGCAAGTCACGGTGCGGGCAAAAATAATTTGTTCTAGACTCGTGTTAATGGCCACCATTTTGTGCTGAATTCTCACAGGAAACTCGACCATTTATTATTGCGTTGAGCTTTCTTTCAATAACACTTTGGCGTAATGTTCGCTCAGGTTTTGCACTAAAATTCTTGGCGGGAGTGGAGTTTTGAAATTCGTAAAAGAGAAAAGCTTACGCTGGCTTCAGAGGAAAGTATGAAGAGAAATGTTTCTGAGGAGGTAATACCTTCATAAGATGTAACATTTTAAAATGTAGTGCTGATCTCTGTCCTGGGTGTCGAGCTACACCAAAAACAGCACTTCCCTAAATATTTTGTTTGAAACATTGAATTTTATCAATTTATCACCCTTTATGAATAGGATATTAGTATCGTATGAAATTGCTACCATCTGATTGTCCGTATTGGCAGCCTCTTAGATGTCATTCGTTACCCAACCACGTCAGAAATCTTATACTTAAGTGGTGGTTTAAATCCTTTTTGTGGTGCTGGTTTAGAATAGTATCACCCCCTACCTTTCCCGTGTGTGTCGTAAGAAGCAACTAAGAGATTCGTGAGTGTGTATTGCAATTTGAGGCAACATGCTGATAACCTGTCTCTATGGTGATGCACAGTCTTCTGAGTGGCTCTCAAACTTTTGTCAGACGTGGTGTGAATAGCTACTTTTACAGCCGTTTACGTCTGCTAACCCCACAAGGGATATAGGCGTGCGTGATATAACCATGTATTATTAAAATCCTTCCTCATTCAGCGTCTACCTACGGGGTGTAAGGGACAGGTCTCCGAATACTGATAGGGTGCATTCAGACCATGAAATTGAACAACTTGCCGTAGAAATAAATTTCAGGAAACGAAAAAACATTTTCGACTTCCCATACAAAATCACGATCAACTGATTGCATTTACTATGGGAAGTCAAAAATTTTTTTACGTTTCCTGAAATCTATTTCAATGGGGAGTTGTTCAGTTTCATGGTCTGAATGCACCCTATCAGTATTCGGAGACCTGTCCCTTACACCCTGTATAAAGTAGACATGATTTATACCATATTAACCAGCTTCCTTGTTTAGTTTGTTTGTTATAATGCACAATATATTTTAAAACGCTGTGGCAGTAATTTGTCCCGCTTAGTCGCGGCGGGCGGTTGCACAAATTCCCGGTGGCCGGCCGGAAATGAGGTTTTAATGCGGGAAAATACCGCATATGGGTACTGCTGTATAGAAACAGAATGCTTCTATGCCTGGGTGTTACAAAACAACAAATAAAGCCGAAAGGAGGTCAAGGTATTAATGAAACTAAACAACTTTCTCCATTAAACATGGGTCGACTCGACATGTGAAAAAATGTTTTGGAACTCCCATAGTAACTCAAATCAGCTGATCGGCAATTTTGTATTGGAGGTCCAAATTCTTTTTCCATATTTCGACCCATGTTCCCAGAGGAAAGTTCTTCAGTTTCATGATCACCTTGATCTCCTTTCGTCTTTTTTTTTGTAAATTAAATCCTACTAATATTATAAAGGCGGATGTTTGTGTGTGTGTTTGTTACGACATCACGCAAAAACGGCTGATTAGATTGACATGAAACTTTGCAGAAATATAAAAGGGCATCTGGAATAACACATAGGATACTTTTTACCACGGAAAAATGTCTCATTCCCACGGGATCACGCATTTTCCAATATTTTTGAAATAGGTGGCGTGACTGAGCCGATTCGCGTTTTAAACGTTTTCGCCGAAAACTAACAGCGACATCTCTCGGCGAATAATGCTTTTTCCCGCGGAATAATAGGTTGCAGCGGGTGAAACCGCTGACGGGCAGCTAGTGCTAGCTAAGTTAATACGATTACCCGCTATAGAAACTAGTGGTTTATCATAGAGGATGAAACTCACAAGATGCCTAAAATATTAAAACGGGTTTCTTATGTTACCGTGATACACCGATCAGTTGGTAGGTACTAGGTAAATATTTAAGGCAATTAATTTTTCTTTCCGCGATCTTTCCTTTCCTATATAACTTATCAAAAACCTTGAATGGATATGATAAGGTGCTTGAAAGAAGTTACATAAGAGAAACAGCGAACATTCACATAAAATTAATAAGTTTCCCCATTCGCAACAAAACAAACAATACACGGGGAACAAATCTTTCCCAGGACTGTGCGATTAATCACAGGGGCCAGGATTACCTGAGACCTCCTATTAATCATGTTTGCAAGCCAAATAATCGGCGTTCACCGCGGCGAGACAAAGATTTCAATGGAATCGAGATTTGGCCCTCGTCCGGTGCACAAAATAGAGAAATTTACAGAAGGACAGCTCGCTTTTCCCTACCATTAATGCCTATACCTACTCTAGGGTTGCTACTTTTTCCTTTTGATAGTTCAATACATTGTGGTACCTGGGTTGAACATACTTATAGGAACATAACTTACGATATATTAAACTTACACTACTACACACTATACAAGAATATTAGCACTTGCGAGTCGTCATTTTGCCGTCTACCCGAAGTGCACGCTACTAGCCGGTTCGAAATCGCGCGTAAACGGACGCCGTGTAGATGTGTGTTTGAGTGTAGTGACGTTTCCTTTGTATTGGAATTTTTAATGCACTCACAGCACATATTATTCTCATAAATTAAATAATGTGAAAAGTGAAAAATTCACTGGCGACCGCCGGTACTTGAACCCGGGACTGTGGATCACCATTCCACCGCTCTGCCAACTGAGCTACGTGCGCTTAGCGGACCCTGGTGAATTTCTCAACCTCTTGATGCTTGTCTCGTAGCGACGTTTCAAACCATATGATGAAGCATTTTGCTGAGGGATCTATAGTCATTATTTTTCATACAAACGCTTTCAACGTATCCCTCTGCCAATTCGCAACCGATCGACACAATTTTTGGAACGGTAACTCTTCTGGACTAGGTTTATGCTCCATATTCTTTTTCTGGTTGTAATAATGCATTTTAAAAAAGATATGGCCGTGGCAAAATGCTCTAAAATTATAACTAAGTTTACGCCTTGGTATCTTCTAAATATGACAATAATTTCAGCAAAACAAATGATACGGGCATAGAATATTTCATTGGCAACAAAATAATGCCACTATCAACAAATTTGGTGGCGCTTTCGAACGGGGAACCTGGTAAACCCAGAACGCAAATTTTCCGGTAGCGAGCTATAACTGTCTCTTTTACGGCTGCGGGACGGGTGGGATGCATAAATGAGATAGAAATATTTTTATCAACTGACAGCTCACGATCTGTCAGCTGGGTATAGTAGCCTCTTAAACCAATGTATTGAAATTTTTAATGCACTCACAGCGCTATATTGTGTGAATGTATGATAGTGAATTTTTCAATTTTCTCATTATTTAATTTATGTTATGACGGTTCCTTGTACCCATCTCTCTGTATTAGGCGCCCGACAGTACTTACTTTGTGCTCGATGCTGGATCAAGACCAGTAGGTACGTAGTACAAGTAAGTACTATGGGTTTTATCAATCAGTCAATTTTATTGTTCAAGTTCTAACTACTACTAAAGAATTACTTTTTAATCTTTAATGAAGCAAGTATTAAATTCTATCCGTAATGAAATAAATAAAATATAATTTCTGTAAATAAAAAAATGATGTAAGAGTTCGCAAAGTTCAAGATATAAGTATATTCCCGCTCCGGGTAATTTTTTGGTGCAGAGGCTGTCCATTGCAATTCTGTGATAACGCGGTAATTGTAATGTGATTAATGAATTTGCGCTATAATAACCACAAAATGGATACCAAAGGATTGTCTTCGTCGTCGTCGTCATGGTTGGCTGAGGAGAAGATGGCGAGACGACATCGAAGTCTTTCGGCGTGTCCCCAGACCTACGGCACGGCGCCGGCGCCGTGGATAGTCACGGCGACGGCGGGCACCGTGCCGTGCCACGGTGTACACCGTGCTATGGCACGGCGTGCATCACGTCAGCGTCACGGCGTGCGTCACGTTAGCGTCACGGCGTCAAAGCTGACGCTGGTATTATATTCTTTGGTTGTTGCTACAGACACTGGCCACAAAGACGGGCAAGTATTATCTGGGCGCACGGTCGCGCTTCGGCCAAGACAAGCCATGCAAAAATGGGAAAAAGATATCGCGAGGGCAAAAGTATGAGAGTATGAGTACGAGACTATTATCAAAAGTATGAGACTATTCTTCTTTGTCGTATCCTCATGACTGAGGGACGTGACCTCACTGGGCTATATTCGTCACCAGCTTCCTCCAAACTTCACGGTCCTGAGCCATGTGTATGGCCGCTTGTAAGGTGGTGTGTGTGGCCTCTTGTATGGTGTCACTCCAACGAGATGGCGCCCGTCCTCTGCTTCTTGTGCCTTCAACACGGCCAGTTATGAGAAGCCTCTCCAGACTATCTGGGGCTCGTCTGACTGTGTGCCCAAAGAATTTAAGGACGCGTTGGGTACAGATGGTGGAAAGCCTGGTCTTTATTTTCAGCTCTTCAAGGATGGACTCGTTGGTGCGGCGTTCCGTCCAGGATATTCGGAGCATCTTGCGCCAGCACCACATCTCAAACGAGTCGATCTTCTTTCGGACGCAGGCTTTTAATGTCCAGGTTTCAGAGGCATACAGAAAAATAGAAAAGATAAGGGTCCTCATTAATTTAACTTTCGTTTTGCGATTAATTCCCGGTTGCGCCATATCTTCTCTAGCCTCTTCACAGCTGACTTAGCCATTTGGCCCCTCCTGACGACTTCTTGCTCACAGTCACCATCGTCGCTGATTTGCGAACCCAGGTAGACGAATTTCCTAACGGTGTTAAGGTCACACAGTTCATTGGTGCGCTGCGATGTTCCTTGCCTATCGATAAACATCAACTTCGTTTTACTTCTGTTAATGAGGAGCCCATATTCCTTGCTGATAGTGGCAATACGTTCCAGCAATAAGGCTAGTTCTGACTCAGAAGCACCAATGATGGTGGTGTCATCCGCAAACCGCAAGTTATTAATCAAGTGACCACCCACTCGGATTCCACCTTCCCAGTTGTCCAAGACCCTTCTCATAATATGTTCACCGATTAGATTGAACAATTGCGGCGAAAGAATGCAGCCTTGGCGTAGTCCACGCTCTGCCTGAAAGGGCTGTGATACGGCTTCCTCTATTCTTACCCTGGATTTGCTATTCATGTATAAATTCTGGACTAAGAAGACTAGATGTTGTGGTACTCCCATTTCGCGCATTACTCTGAACATTTTACTCCAATCAATACAGTCAAATGCTTTAGCATAGTCTATGAAACATAGTGCAGCGTTGATGTTATGTTCCCTGCATTTCTCGATGAGCTGGCGAATGTTCATAATTTGCTCTCTAGTACCTTTGCCTCTTACAAATCCAGCTTGTTCTTGGGGTATCTGGCAACTTATGTATGGCTCCAGTCTCTTGTTTAAGATGTGCAACAGGACTTTACTGGCATGGGAGATGAGCGACAGAGTTCGATAGTTTTCGCATTTCCGGGTAGAGCCTTTTTTGTGTAAAGGAACAACGACAGAGTCGGTCCAATCTTCAGGCCACTGTCCCGTTCGCCAGATCTTTACACATATGTTGTGAAGTATGTTTAGGCCATCCTTTCCCATATTACGGAGCATTTGGGCGGAGATGCCATCATTGCCGCAAGCTTTGGGTTTCAATCTAGAGACTGCAGATTCCACTTCGCAAAGGAGAATATCGGGTTCTTTTTCATCGTAGTCCAACCGGTCAAGTTCTTCGCCTGTGTAGTTTTGGCTATATAGCTGCTGACAATATTGCCGCCATCGATCAAGGATCGCTTCCCTGTCCAAAAGTGTTGCACCAGTCTCGCTCTCGATCGTCCAGTGTTTGGGCTTGAATTCTTCTGAAAGTAATTTCACCTTCTGGAACATGTCGCGCGAGTGGGCAGTATCCGAACACTTCTGTAACTCCGAGCATATATTGTCAATGTAGGCCTCCTATCAGTTCTACACTGTTTCTGGATTGCGTGATGGAGATGCGCGTAGCGGCTATTTTTGTCAGAGTATGAGCCTTGCAATTTAAGGGCTTTTCTCTCCTCGATTAATTTCCATGCCTCCACACTTATCCAATCGGCTTTAGGGACGGTGATTTTGTTCATGTCAGCAGCTCTTTTGGCTGTATCTGTAATGGTAGACTTCAGGTTTGACCAAGATGCCTCAGATGACTCAAACGGGTCTTGCTCAAAGATTTTAAGTTTTTCTTGGATCTCCGTTCTATAGCTCACGAGAGCAGCTTCATTGAGGACAATCGGTTTGTTCTTCCTCGGTTTGTTAGGTGCTTTTAACCGAATTTTAAACTTAGCTGTTAACAGTTGATGGTCGCTGCCGCAGTCGGCTCCTGGTTTTGTTTTCGCACAGTAGACAGCAGACCTCCATCTTTGGTTTACCAGTATGAAGTCGATCTGGTTTTTGTGTTGACCGTTTGGTGACGTCCAGGTGAATAAACGTCTCGGATGTTGCTGGAACCAAGTGTTCATGACCGACTGTTTATTCTCGATACAAAAGTCTAGAAGCATCTCACCGCGTTCGTTTCTCTCGCCTAGTCCGAACTTGCCAACAATATCCCTCAGGTGGTCATCATCGGTTGTGGCTCCAATTTTTGCATTGAAGTCACCCAAAGTTAATACAGGTTCTTTGTTGGGAATATTCTTTAAGGTCTTCTCTAGTAAGTTGTAGAAGGCAGAGATTTCATCGTCAGTAGAGCCTGATGTTGGTGCATAGACAATTATTATGTTGAACGGGTTTGGTTTTGCTTCAAACTTGACTTGGAGTATTCTCTCATTGACACAGTCATATCCCAGCATTTTGTCTGCTAGAGGCTTAAAAATCATCGCAGCCACTCCACTGAAGCTGTTTTCCGGTACTCCTGATACTATGACCATTTTCCCTGTAGCACTAGTGTAATGACCTGTTTCTTTTATGTGGGTTTCTGTGATGCCAAGAACATCAATCATGTACCTATCCATTTCTTTTTCCACCACTTCAGATGTTCCAGGTTTTGAGAGGCCACGGACGTTCCAAGTGGCTATCGTGAGAGTTTGGTAGTTGTGAGTCTGTCCCTTGGTGTTATTAGGAGGCGTTAAAGATGCAGCAGTCGCATAATTTCCACAAGGAGCCTGCTGCCGCACAGCCTTGAGGCCGGTAGCATATTTAACACCAGCTGTCCCGGACGCAGGCTGGCGCCGGGGGTCAGCCGGATTGCCCGACAGAATCTTACTTTTAACATTCTTGCCCATGAAGTTTTCTTGGGATAAGTGTGAGCGGTAGTATCCCCTTCCTTTCCGCCTTAGTCTTTTAGAGGGCATTTAATCCTCAAGGCCACTGTAGCCTGCTGGTGAACCAGGGGTCGGGTTATCACATCCGCCGCCCGATACTCGGCGTTGAGATGAGACTATTATCTAAATTAAATTATAACAAAATAATGTCACTTACTGAAAATAAAACAAACACTATGTGGTCAATCATAAACAGAATTAACAGAAAAACGAAAAAAAAAAACGGCAACGGCAGTGTAAAGAATCTCACGTGTGGGGCAAATATCTTTTGTATTGATAGGGTTGCTTCTGCTGTCTTAATGATTACACAACGTGTTTAAGGTTGCAACATGCTGCGTTAATTAAAGGCTGCCTATTTTTTTCTACACAACTTTTTTGATAGTAAAATATTATTAATTAATATAATTATCATAAGTACATTTCTT